TGTCGTCCACTCCGCAGTACTCGTTCACGTCATACTCAACTTCCATGTAGGAGTTGCCATCCAAGTCATCGCAGATATCTTCATCCGACAGAATGGGTTCGAACGGCTCGGCGTCCATGGATTTTTCTTCATCGGGATTACGATTAGGAGATTCTATGGGTTTCGGAGCTGCCGTTGTATCAACGATGGGAACCGTCACTAGGCTCGAATGTTCGACGTAGTTGTTATCGACCTCCTGAGAGGGACTCCTGATGGAGCTCTTGTGTCGGTAGCTCTGATGGTAAAAGTCGATACGTGGGATTTGTTTTCCGCTGCGGTCACCGCGGTCATATTCGCCTCCCTCCTCAGACCGAACCGAGTAAATCGGGCTCGTCGTTTCACCTTCCCTGGGTGTCAACGGCCGCCTGGTCTCCACGGGTGGCGTTCTAGGTCTCTTCCTGGGATCATCTCGACTGGGCGACCTGCTGCCGTAACTAGACCCTCTCATGCGGCTGTAAGGCGAGTGTCTCCTATCGTATGGTGTTTGTTTGTCGTATGATGGAGCTCGCCGCTCGTAGGACGAACTTCTCTTGTCATAGGGCGACAGCCTCTTCTCGTACGCACCACCTTTGTCGTAAGGAGGTTTGCGTTCATAAGAAGGCGCTCTCGGTGACCTCGGCTCGTATGACCCACCACGTGACCGGTCATAGGAGACATCACGATGTCGTCGGTAGTCATCTTTCTTGTAGGAGCCCCTGTCCCAGTCACGGTCTAAGCTGCGTGACCGTGACCGGCTCAGCGGTCGGTACTCTCCTTTGCCCCCATAATCTCTGTCGCGACTCCTTGACCTAGAGTGTAGTCTGTCAAGTCGGTCCACATCTCTGCTTCTGTCTCTGTGCCGTGAAGACTCCCGACTCAGTCCCCGGTCCAGCGAGCGTCTCCTGCTCCGTCGCTCTCTGTTCATCTCCATAGATCGCGGACTGCGTCTCATCCTATCTCCGTCTCTTTCACAACTGATATCTCTCCTCTCCTTCTCCCACTCGTTCTCGTCTATGTGGTGATACGTCCGAGGGTCCTTGGGTGCCTCGTTGTCGTAATATTCTCCTCTGTACATTTGATTATCATAGTTGTCTGTGTTCGGATAGTTTCCCGCACCATAAGCTTCAGGATTGGTGGCGGTGACATTGCTGGTGTAGGCCGGTATGGGGTTAGATGTTTCTGGATTCCAATCTGCTGTCTGTGGCACGTTAGCGGGTAGCGCGCTGACTTCTCTAGAGACTGGTCTCTGGCTGTTGGGCTGTGGGTTCACAGCGGCAACATTGTCAGGTAAGACTTGAGTCAAGTTACCATATACTGCCAGAGTTATAGTTGTATACCAACCTGGAATAGAGAAAGTATACAAATTAAGTAATAAGTAAAATATATTATATTATTGAAGTTTTTGTTCATAAAATGTAGCTTTTAACATAGTTTATTTTACTCTTCTGAACTACATGTCTTTTCAGTAGAAAATATAATTATCGGGGTATGTGTTTAAAAAATACTTGACTTTGTACTTGAACTTTCTCATTTTGTTTCACAGAGACAACAAACAGACCAATCATAAAATTTTAAATGATCACTGACACTGAAATAGATTCTGAATAAAACAAATATTGTTAATTGTCCTAGGCTTAAAGTGATTTAAAATATTTAGAACACTGTAACTATTCATATCCATCACAGTTATATGGTGAATGTTAGATAATTTGATAATTTAATTTTATTAGTAAAAAGAATTACAATCTATATAGAAGAACTACAACATAGACTACACATGAGACGACAGAATTATATAAATTATAAATAGTTTTCTAGATGGTTGCTAATAAAAATATCTTACTTGTTTAATACCTGTTGTGCATTAATTGTCTTTTAATATTTATAGCAGTGTTTATAGCAGTAAGTAGTATAGAAGCAATTAATCAAGTAATCATATGGGAAAAATGTTGAATCATTTTGGAAAAGACTTGATATTCTTACACTGCTGCATGCACTAACCAAACATACTTAAGAATGACCACAAGGACTCTTGCTGGCAAAAGAATAAAACTGCCTCAATATCGGTAAACCCATATGTGAGCTAAAATGCCACAGACAGATACACACATTTATATATGCAGGTATCAATTATTATAAATATAGTAACTAATATAAATTAAAGCTATGCCTGTAGTAGATGTATCAGGTCCGTAACTGAAACACAATTATCGATTTTTATATAGTAAATTGAACATAGTTTTCACTATACTGTTTAGTGATTATATTATTTACTTTATAGAATATTAAAGCAGTTATATGAAAAAAGCCTCTTAATCCCCAAGTAGCTTCATAACCTAGTAACTTGTGTCTACAATTAAAAATCCAATATCAATAAAAGCAATAATCTGAATTAACAGCTAACGGGGCAAAATTTGATTTTCCGAGACCAAAACTAAAAATAATATGATGATGTATATCTCTACAACAATCCAATTTTTGAACTTCATAACATATCTAATCCTAAAGGTATGTTAAAACTTTTAAATTCAAGTAACAAATATAATCCAACCTCTAAGAACAAGACCATCCGTAGGTATTCTTGTCTGCTCAGCGTTGTCTCCGCACTCCATATGAATCTGTCCATTCTGACAATAATCTAGACTGCCGAGAGCCTCAAATGTGGCAGCACCAGGTTTGCTCAAATCATTCACAAAGAAGTCAATGTGGAACTTAGTGGGGTTGGTGGCACCGAGCCTCACTCCACCAGGGAAGTCTCCCTCCACACGAGCACCGAGGGGAATTATACGTATTTCTCTCACATATACAGACTTTGGAAACTGAACAAGGTCTAAATTAAGCTCCTAAAAGAACAAAAGAAAAGTATGTTAATATTTTTAATGAAAATATAATGATGGAAGGTATATGTTACAATAGTTAGATATAATTACTTCACTAGTATCATGTGAAAATGTATCGAAGAATAATAGATCCGGCTTGTCTCCACACATTGCGGTCTCCATCACATCTCCTTTACACAATTTTATAATTAATACATTCAGCTATGTACAAATTATATACATTAAAACATGATTATATTATATTTCAACAACAGATATAACTGCTAATCAGACCCAAGCCACTCGGTATCAGATTAAACATTTAGCCATTTACTATTTGTCATTTTTAACTGACTTTGACAGATAAGCCGTGACAACTCAAAGATTTCTCTAAATTCATGATTTTATATAAAACAATATTAAATCTTAGGCAAATGAAAAGTTAAGGTTTTTCGTTCTTTAAAAATAGTTAAATTTAAATTTATAATAAGACTAGGCCTATTGACGTATTCAGAATATAGACTAAAAATTCTATTACGTACGATTTTTTTTCCTTTTTAAATTCATCACCTTAGGATCATTAATATTGCAAAATATATACTGAATACCGGATATCTTAATGATATTTTTTTGCATTTTTAGAACCGATTAAACCAGTTTCTTTGTTTACTTAAATGACTATGAAGATATAAATTTTAAAAATGTATTAAATAGCAATCTATATCTCGTTCGATGGAAGTTTCATCACCAAAATATTTCTTGTATCTCATGTATATTTATAATTTTACATACGTACATTCAAGTATAAGTACCTACTATTTATCATAACCTTTTATTACTTCACCAGAGGAAATGATTCGAACATTCTACATACATTGACTGTTATTGCTCATTATAAATTATAATTTATATTACTAATCTTCAATACAGATCATAAATTTATTAAACTATAAAAATACATATTTTTAGACTAAAACTATAAAACACTGTTATTTTTTTCCATCTTAAGGTCTATTAGATATTAATAATCTTCCTCCGATAATTAAAGGATGTTAGTTGTAACAATTGTGTGAAAGTTTATTATTTTATAGTGTCCATGTTTTTTTGTTAGAAATTTGTAAATTGATGCTAAATAAATTCTAACAGAAACACTCACAGTTACACGGTACTAATGAAACAATTAGCCTACTATTTCTTAGTTCTAAGTAAGTGCGCAATATTATAATACAAAAGAATAAAATTTATAGTTATATAAATAAGTGGTCTTCGAATCGACCTTGGATTTTAATAAGAGAAATAAAAATATTCAATTATAAGTAATTTCCATTGCAGAAAAAACACAACGATAATTATAGGTATTATTGTTTTTGTAGAGGTTTTTAGGTGAATTATACAAAGTGACGTAGTTTTCCTCTAGTGGCTGGTACTCGCTAGTACTGGCTAATGTTTTCCTGTTGCTCTCACACTGTGAGATGGTTTATGGTCAAATAAAATTGTTTGTGATGATCGAAGGAAAATAAAAATAACAGCCGCTTATAAGAATAAACTTGTTGATTACGACCTAGTTCTAGTTTTAAAAATGATATTATAAATATTGTATTTTTATCCAATCCTTCATTTTTATAATGAGTACTTATACAGAATAAAATCATGGCATATACAATATATATGCATAAAAAAAAAAGAAAATTCTTCACCATAATACATTGCTATTTTTTTCATATTACCCCCTTTAATTTGAATTTTATTTTGTTTTTTTTTTATGTCATGTTGCAAAATAAGATTTCTTATATTTTTTTAATATCGTTTATATTAGTTTAAGTAAATGTTATAAATGGCGTTAGTGGCGATCAACCAGAAGCGAGAATTCAAACTCGTCTCGCTACCTGCAGCGACCACCTGTATGATATGAAGGTTGCCAGGATACTACACTACCCTCCTTCAAGGATAAATAGGATCATGTATGAGCAATTTCATATAAATTCATTTTAATATATGATAATAACTTAGTCAGTCTAAAAGTAACGGAAAAATAAATTCTTATAAGAATCATATAGTCGTGCTCGGTGTATGCAATTTTTTCATCATAGTTCATCTGTAAAAGTCGTATCGGGAAACATAATAATTGTGCAATACATCAAAGTACAAGTAGGTTGTTTTATTTCATAATGTATAAGCAGTAGTTGTCTGTACGCTAGCAACCCCACCTGAGCGTCGTGTGTCGTGTGTAGTGTGCGGTGTGTTGTGAGCCGGCTGCGTGTCGCCAGTGTCTCCCGCGCGGTCGAGGAGGGAGGACGTCACTTGAGAGAGACGCGCCAGCAACTTTCGAGAAACTTTCCCTGAGTGCGCGTGTGTTGAGTGTTGTTGTGTTGATGTGGTAAGTGGCGGTAAGATGCGCGCCTGGCAGGCCTGCTGGCTCCTGCTGGCGGCCACCGTCGCCGCGGACGACACGAGGCATCTATCAGGTAACACGTTTTAACTAACCGGGCACCGGCGACGCTCGACACTTCTTTGAACGGAATCGCGCCGCTCTTTCTTCGCTAACTTCGCCCGTCTCGGACACGCCGAAGAAACGTTAAAAAGTAAAAACAGCGGTACAAGTGAAAAGTAGGGTAGGCGCACCGGCGATGTGGTAGAAAGTTCTCATTGGACTCTCCGGTGTTTCGTGTGGTTTATCGAGAGTCTGTCACTCGTGGCTGGTCGTGTAGTGATGTATATTAATAATAATAATAATGTAATGAGTGGCCGCGGGTGACGTGGAGGTTCATGCGAGCTCGTCGCCCGAGGGTTCCTTGACCTTCGTCAGTCCGTGTCGTGGCTCGGCTCACCTAAACTATATATGATAATGTTTCCTTCACGTACAGGGACTACCTCTCGTACTAAACTCACAGTCGCCGTTCGTTTTCGTTCAAAAGACTTCAACGCGTGCGTGTTCGTTTTACGCCACTAATTTTCATTTGAAACCTCGCAGTACAATGTCCTCGCAACCAGTTTTATTTGTGTTGATTTTGTGCCTGTCCAGTTTATATTACATCAATCAGTTTTAATATGAAACAATTTTATATTGAGACTTAATCTGTACTATTCAATAATTCTGTCAGAATCATCAGTTTTTCTGTAAATCTTGTCTGTGTGTCAACTGTCAATACATACCTACGTTTGTCCGTACGGGCGAGTGTCCGTTCCTACGTGTCCGTGTGTCCATGTGTCTAGTGTCCGTGTGTGACATTGACCGCCGGAAGACAGTTCGTCCATCATCAATAAACAGTTTCCTCCTCTTTATCCGAGCGTCGTGAATGTGGACTCTGATCCCCCACAATAAGAATCATCATAAGACCGTACTCGAATTCGTGTGACCATCAACCTTTAAACGATTCTAAACTATATTTGTATAGTGTTAAGGTTTATTTCAGTCCGTTCGTGCCTGACCCCAATGTATCCGATGTGGGTCAGTATTCTGCTGACATCTTCACTTCAGTCTCATTCTTTATATTATTAATATTTATTCATTTCCCCGACACTCGCTCGTCACGGCTCGTCACCACAACCTGGTGTTTTTGGGAAGTTGTTAGTTATAATTTCGTTTGTGTGTATTTTGCAGCAGTAATTAAAAGTTTTGAATTAGTCCTCATGATATGGATACAAATACAGCTACAGTTGTTCGGAAGACTTCTATATATTTTTCTGGAACTGTTTACAAAGTTCCTTTGATGCCATGACGTCATGATGATTCCAGGCTGATGTGAACCTTGACCTCTGACCCACGACAGGATCCAAGACTCACAATATTATGATAGTGGAGGATTTTAGCTTCATCATCATATAAATATTATTTTATATTTCTATCGCCTTCAAACCGGTTCTACACCTCGCGATTCTATACAGGTTTGATAAGAGCCAATGTCTCGGCTTCCTACTCGAAATAGAATTGTTGGTTTACATGAATATTACTTTTATTATTACACTATTACCTTTATAGTTCATGATTAATTTACACACTAAATAAATCCTTCATTAGTAATAAATTAAATTCCTTCATTTTTAACTTACTTTAAACTTTAATATGCAACAGTTATTTTGGAATAATTCTTCTACCATCTTCTAGAACTTCTTACATAAGATCCAACACATTACATGAGAATTGATTATGAGTATTTTCGTTTAATATAATCGATCAAATATTAATTAGTTAAACGTTTTTTATCCACTCCTCGTACAACTAATACCGTGACGCCTGTATGTAACAGCGGTGTACTGGACACGCGAACGGAGAAACTCGAGGAAGAACACTTACATTACTTGCGTAAAACATTTTGAGGCAAAAAATAGGTAAAAAAACATTTTAAGTTAAACGGTTTTAGGTGAAACGTACATTGCAATGTTTAAGACAAATGTACTAAAAACCAAAAATAATAAAATAGCTATAGTTGTGGGAATTATAAACATATGCAGACTAGACTAAAATAAAAGCGTAAAATTCATTTGTGCTTAATTATTGCAAGGTTTCTTGCCCGTTAGTTTATTGCAGTCCAACTCCTCCTAAAATTGTTATCAGCCATTTAGTAGCGGCGGCCATCTTACATTTCAATTTAGCATAGTAAATTGTATTCTACTTGTTGAGACTTTTCATTTGATACCCATGTTGATGGGATTGATAAAACCTACGTTATCCGCCATTTTGTAGAGGCCGCCATCTTGGATTTCATTTATTTATAGTACATTGTATTCTACTTGTTGAGCAATTTCCATTGATACCCAAATTGATGGGATTGGTAAAACATAAATTATCCGCCATTTTGCAGCGGCGGCCATCTTGAAATTCTAATGATAATGAATAAACATAATTGTATTATCACCAAAATCCAAAGTGTATACAAAATTTCAGATTAATCGGTTGACAGGAAGAGGGTGAAATTTGAGTTACTAAATTTGACCGAAGGAAAATTTAAATGAAAAAAGAATAAATAATAAATAAAACAAACGGCGTGAGCTAAATAAAATCATTTAATAAAAATACTTTGATTTACTCATTATGAGACGGCTAGCTGCATGTGAGTGTGTGTGTGTGTGAGCCTAAAATCGAGTTCGGATTATCCAACTGCATTGTACGAGTTATAGTCTATAGATTAATAAACATACTTTGAATGAGGAACGTAAAACGAGTAGTATGTAGTGTATACCAGCCCGTACTAAGGATGCTGAACACTGAGATTATACATAGAATGTATACGTATGGCATAATATTGATGTTTTTTCTCCTATATTTTGTTGATGATGTTACAAAACGAATCAAATAATAATATGAGATGATCCCCACAAACTCAACACAATCGTAATGTTGTGACAGTTGGAGAGGAAAAGTTGCAGATTAATGTCTCCGATACATGGAAATATAAGTTTAATACGTGGAAATAAACGTTACGAGTACTGTATTGACGTCACTACAGAAAATCTTGATGGTTCTTTAAGTAGCGAATACTTGTCTTAAAATTATAATTATTTACTAGGAGCCCCGGCGAACTTCGTATCGCCTTATAATTAAGAAATATCTGTTACGTTTTTTTATTTATATTTTTGTAGTTTACCTATTAAAGCCATAAATCTCCGTGCTTTGAAGTGCGACAGAATGATTGACATAGTTAGTTGTCAAATCTAATTTAAAAAAAAACGTTTGTATCAACAACTACTTATAAATTAAAAATTAATTAAAAAAACATTGTCCAGCGGACAAAATTGTGAATCTAAACAATTCCCAGATACCCTTGAACATACAAAAAATTTCATCAAAATCGGTCCAATCGTTTGAGAGAAGTTCAGTGACATATACACTCACAGAAGAATTATATATATAAAGATATTTGGGACAAGATTTTTTTAAAGATGAATTTAATTGTATTAATTTGTAGATAGTATGCGTCATCTTATTGTCCGTTGTCATGACAACCATGTTTCAGATCACCAGCCAACTGTAGTTATTGTGACCCAACACAAAAGACATATACATCTCTGATCCCGGATCCAAATATGAAAAGAATCTTCCTCTTATGATATGTGTTGCACAATATAATATGTCTGAGAAGTATCCTTACAATAGTGTTGCCGATGAAGGCTTTATGTATTTAGTGAATACTGAATAACATTTCCATTGTACATTCAAGGAATGTGACGGAATCGTCTTAAAATAACTCATTTATAATTCTTCCTTTGTTATTTTCGTGTTTCGTACGGTGGCCTTTTAGAGTCGAGTCACTTGTGCATTCATTGAGCAATGTACTAATAAAATCCAGACAGGAATACTACGATTTTAAAATACGCGCGATGTGAATCCAAAGTGGCAACCTCTCGCCCTCTCCCAGCGTCCATTGCTCTTTTGGAACTGCCTACGTAACTTTGAGTCGAACTAACCGAGCGTTGAATCGGCTTTCATGAAAACGGACCGATCCGTGAGGGTGAATGACTTTCGCCGTGGCCTATGATAAGTAATTATTAACCTAAAAGCTGGATGTTAGAGTTTGTTTTGGTCTGTCCAGTGAAGTGTGTCATCAACGGTAGCTTTTGTTATAATGCTGTTAGTTTTCGGAATAAGGATTATATTGAAAATATTTTTTCCTATTTCCCTCTTCCTATAGTAATGAAAGACTGGTTTGATTTTGTTAAGTCGGAAAAAATACCGTTTTAAAATATAAACGACATTTATTTCGTAAATTTAAATGTCAAATAAAATAAAGTTTGTGTTGAACTGGTTTAGGTCACCGTTTTATATATAAAATGTGTTATGAAGCGTTAATTTTGCGATGTCAGGGGACGTATGCTATCACTATTGGCCGGTACCATAACTTTCACACTGTTAACTAAACTGTGATGATTTCCGAAAGTCCCAGTTTTCCATGATTCCTTTCATTTATCAACAAATTAGTGTTTATTATAAAAGTGAGACAAAACATTCACAAAGATAATTTAACCCCATTGAGCCATAGAAAATGGCGTTCATTGTTTTGTTGTCATTACGCTAACGAGTGCTCCCGCTGTTTGTAAAATGACTACAGTTATGTGACGCGGAGTGAGGAGTGAGCTGTGTGGACTATGAGGTAACACACCCGCTCTGTTGGCTCCTTTGAATGACCACGATCATGGACCCAGTACATTTTTTTACATCTAATTAGTCTGAGTATAACTTATGACTCGTCCAGCGTCGTCTGAAGTGGTTCAGTGCTGACAAAATCATCAAAGAAACGCTCACTGCTAATTATCTTTGTGAATATGAAATAAGATGATTATAAAGACCTTATTAACTACAACTGAGACGTGACTTTTTAGTGGTCCTCATTAAAATATGTAAAAGTGACACACCTTTGTGTTTTGTATATGAAGGTTAACCCTGAATCAATTTATTATATAGGAAGAGTGTCTTCTTGCAATATATTTTATTTTATAACGTTTTGTTACTTTATTTCCTAA